TGGCATTTTGAAAACAAAGTTTAAACTCACATTTTATTATTGCTACTATAAAATAACACTAACATTTGAATAAAACACAGTTTTTCAAACCTTTTTTGGAGATTGAGACCAGATGCATTTTTTAAAAGCACATTTTATTGCCTGTCAAGAACTTTAAATTGCAAACTTTATCTAGATGTTGAGAATGAGGAATTGCATTATTTCTCCCTTTTTAATTTTGCTGTTTAGTGATTCTTGTAATAGTTAGAAGTCAGTCAGTTATAGCTGGCAGAAAGCAGCAGTAAATGCTTCAGAATTCTTTTATGAATTGTTTTCTGCTTCTCTGTATATTTAAATGGGTATAGGTTGTAAAAAGCAAGATATAAAAATTAATCTTTTTTTAAAGTAATGAATAGTTTGGATTTGTCAAAATTCCTAATACATATATCAAGCAAAGGCCATTTCTGGTGTGTTGTTGCCGATTTTAAATGTACGGAGTACTACTTTTAAGTAACTGGTAGTTCTGACTACTTCACTAGTAATACAAAGAAACTGTTTTTTACCCGGATGAAAATATTTTTTCACACGTTAGTGACAAATGCTTTAAACTAATAATTCTGAGCCTGCAATAGGCACTGACTTTTCATTCACTGCAGAATAAATATAAAGAATGCTTACTCCTTTTGCACACCATTAAAAAAAATAAATAGTTTGGTTGGGCATAAACACCTCTCAGCAATTGTTGGGATTCCCGCAGCTCCTCACCACCGGGGATGGGGCAGGGGGACCCTGCAGCTCCCTGCCACCATGTGGGGCAGGGGGACCCTGGAGCTCTGCGCCCCCATGGTTGGTGGGTGCCTTGGAGCTTTTAGCTACCCCACAGCTGCCCAGCCCCTTCCCATTTTATCATGGATATTGTTAGTAAAAGTCAGGGACAGGGCACAGGCTTCTGTGAATTTTTCTTTATTGCCTGTGACCTGTCCGTGACTTTTACTAACAATATCCATAACAAAATCTTAGCTTTACTCATAGTTCCTGGCTCTGCACCTCTGAGCTCAAATTGCAACTCTCTTATAACTCAGTCCTGCAAGGTGCTAAGTTCCATTGGAACAATTTTTCTCTCTGTCTAGGTATTTTGTATGGCTACAGTCACTCAATTACAGACAGCATCTTTTGACTGAAATGTGCTCACTATATATTTACAAGCTTAATTATATCTTTAAAATGCATCTTATTTTTAATTCTACTTTGTATTATTAAAATGGCCAAAAAATAGTAGTTGATAGCCAAAAATGGGAAGAGATTATGACCAAGAAAGCATAGGATTCAAATAGTTAGCAGTATTTCTTCCATTGTTTGTGACAGAGGCCAGATGAGCTAGCATATGAAACCAAAGCAGAAGACCTACTTGGAACATTAATACTGCAATGCGTATAACATATAAGTAGCATGTTTTTGTTTCAATTTCCCGTTTAATTCCATGGAGGAATCTTCACAGACTATGGAATGGACTCAGTCAATGCAATTTGCCAGGATATCAGTGGAAGGTTTTGTGTTGTTGGAAAAATAATTGTGGTGGTGTAACTTTTTTAAAGGCAAAAATAAAAATAATTCACAGTGAGAGCTTGTCACTATCTTTAATTTGGTCTTTTGTACTTAGGTATTGTAGCACTTGGGTAACAGCATTACATACCACTGTAAAACCCCACAATACTAGATACATCAGCAGAGATAGTTAAGGATAGGGTGACAGCTTGAATTCCTTTCTTTAGCCAGTTCAGTTTAGATCTGTGTTGTTCTAAGGCTTATTTTACTGCAGTGAAAATGTTTAAATGAGAGAAGCGTTGCTTCATATTGACAGGGAATAATCTGTCACATCTTCAGTTCAGGACTGGCTGGGTCAGGACTGGCTGGGTCAGGAAACTGGTAATAAGATACAGAGCTTTTTACTTCTAGGTCAGCAGTTTGAATTTGTTTTACATTGGTAGTGATGGCTCTTTAGCAGCCTGTGTGAAATGAGTTGGTGGCCTATCTAATTCCTGCTGAATAGGTTTCCACATCACAATGGACTTTAAATAGGTACCCTTGTTGGCAGTCTCCACAGAGAAGCCAGTGATTGAATGAGCATTGAAAATCAACTACCATCTCACCTTTGGAGGTGGTCCTATCAGGTCAGCATTGAGGCACTTTGGAGAGAGTTGCATTGTCACTGCTTGTGCTGTACCCATTATGTAACTAAATAAAAGCATCAATCTCCAGGCCTGTCAATCTGACAACTTTCACAAATACTCTTTAAAAAAAAAAAAAAAAAAAAAAAAGACAACTTAGTACTGTATGTGGGGTTAAGAAGCCATGGTCTTTGCTCTGCGGTCTTGCTAAAGAGATAGAAGAGGAATTCTTGGGGAAACTACTAATAAAAGAGAGTGGTTAGATCTCAGCTGGCTGTATTACTGTGTACAGCTTTAGGCTGCAGAACAAATAATTGCTTTCAGATTGGGAAGGAAGAGGTATAGCAAAATCCCATTTCTTTTTCTTTCGTTTTCATGATTTTGTAGCCCAGGAATTCTCTCTCATATAGAATTAGTGGTAGTCCATCAAACATGTGTGACAGACCCGGACCAGTGGGGTACAGGAGTCTGGTAGAGGGCAAATATACTGGTCACTGGATGAGTAGTTTTCTGTTCCCTGAGTGACCAGAGAAGGGGCTGCACTAGAGTAATCAGGAACCTGCTAGAACCAGTTAAGGCAGGCAGGCTAATTAGGACACCTGGAGCCAATTAAGAAGAAGCTGCTAGAATCAATTAAGGCAGGCTAATCAGGGCACCTGGGTTTTAAAAGGAGCTCACTTCAGTTTGTGGGGCGAGTGTGAGGAGCTGGGAGCAAGAGGCGCAAGAAGCTGAGAGTGAGAGGATGTGCTGCTGGAGGACTGAGGAGCACAAGCGTTATCAGACACCAGGAGGAAGGTCCTGTGGTGAGAATAAGGAAGGTGTTTGGAGGAGGCCATGGGGAAGTAGCCCAGGGAGTTGTAGCTGTCATGCAGCAGTTACAGAAGGCAGTATAGACAGCTGCAGTCCACAGGACCCTGGGCTGGAACCCGGAGTAGAGGGCGGGCCCGGGTTCCCCCCAAACCTCCCAATTGACCTGGACTGTGGGTTCTTCCAGAGGGGAAGGTCTCTGGGTTGTTCCCCAACTCACATGGTGAATCTCTGAGGCAGGAAAATCTGCCAATAAGCGCAGGACCCACCAAGATAGAGGAGGAACTTTGTCACATATGGAAGAGGCATTATTACTCTGCCACCTAAAAGGAATACTCTAGGAACTTGCCTCTGTGAGCATTTTGATGGTGGCATATCATATAGTGGCATATATCGCCTTCCTAGTCAGATATAAGGCACTGACAATTTAGGTCCCAAATTTGGTGCCTTGGATGGTCATCGTCTGGTGGACAATATCTTCCAACTTTTCAGTATTAAATTGCAAAATAGAAAAATATCCTCTGGATCATTCCCATGGTCTGGATGCAGCACTCTATACTGCAATGCCTAAGCCCACAAGGCTTGGGGTCAATTTGTTGTCTTGGCATCTGTGCCTGCCTCTTGGAGTGAGTATATTTTGGAAACTGAGCAGGGCAGGGGTTGAAAAAAGGTAGAGGGGACTCATTTCTTAACTGGTGTTCAAAACCTTAGTTTCCGCATTCTGAAAGTATTGGGAGCACAGTTGTGGTTAAGACATCAATCTGTGAAAACTCCAGCAGCTATGAAGAGTCTCCCTCACTCATATACCAAAATATGTAATCAGACTGATAATTTAGAGTTTATTGGCATTTTATTACCAGGCCACAATATTTTATACCTTTCTGTTTTGCTTTTTCAGTTGAGTGAAATTTTCATCTTTTGATGGAGACGAGACTAGGTTTGTTTCCAAGTAATTCAGTACCATGTCTGTCTAAACTTGGATGATTATGTGATTTGTTTTGATTGGTTTATGGGTATATGTGGTTTGGTGGCATGTCATGTGAAAAACCACAAGTCTCTCCTCACCTAACTGAAAAGTCAAATACATTATAGAAAGAAGAAGTAAACAGTGCTATGACGCAGATCATATTTTTTTTTTAAAAAATGTTAGCTCTTGCAAGCATCTGAAAGATCTGATATATTTATATACAGCTGTAGATCACTAACTGTCAGGTTTCATGCTGTATCGCCATGAAATCAGGTGTGGGTTCAGTGTTGACGTATTGAAATATTTTTCAGTATTGACTTACTTTTTTCACACCAAAGCTCCAAAAAGCGTTAAAGGAATATTTAGTGCACTTAGATGTACAAGTGGGTTAACTGTTGCACATATGAAAAGCAATATTCTTATAACCGTTTTTTTTTAAGTTTTCACTTTAAAAGGTGATTTACATTTTGCAGCAAACATGTGAAAGACTGAACAAAAGTCAGTTTACGTGACCAATTTATGTGGGAAATTTTAAATGCTTTTGTCTTATTTGGGGGGGGCGGGTGATGTCTATAGGTACTCCAAAGGCCCTGTATTTCAGTGGTCTCTTTAACAGGACTAAACTGACTTTTCTCCCTTATGTGTTTTACCAAGGTCATTGTTTTTATCTTGTATTCATTTAACGCTAATTCAGTAAATATTTCTGCATCTGTTTTGGTTCAGTGCAATGAAAGCTTTCTAATAGATTTAGCTTTTACAGTGTTATCGTACTGGAGAAGAATGCTGTATCTCACAACTCAGTGGTTCTTTAAGAGGGTGTAAAATTCACACTAGTGCCTTCTTGTAACTGAAAGCACTGTAAAGTGACGTAAAAGGGTTTCACTTGTTACCTTTGCTGTTGCTATTTTCAGGGAATCAGTAATTCTCAGTTCAGACTGCTCTCTTTTCAGGCCGCTGGGAATATGGGATAATAAGCACTCCTGAGAGTGCTTAAACATTCTCATGGTCATGACAAAAGTAATAAAGTTCAACAAGTAAAACTAATTCAGGATTCATTTATTTTATTTCCTTTCTTATAGACCTGTACTAGTCAAGCTGTCTTCCACCTTCAGTCTGGTATCTGTCAGCTCTTTCGAGAAACTCTCATTCACAAGGGGTTTGTGGAAATTCAGACTCCCAAAATCATCTCAGGTACGGTGTGGTTTAATGTGGTATGGCATTTACTTAGCACAGCGATACTGGATTGATATTTGAGGGGCTGAAAAATGATTTATTGCTTGTTAAAAAGAAAAAAAAATTACTCTTTTAAGTTTAGAATAGCATCTCCTAGAAAGAAAAAAACAGTGTTCTGTTGTTCTCCTATCCTTAGATGTTAGTAGTTGGCTCACTGCTTGCACCTTTTAGTGTTAGTACTCCTGACAAGAAAGGATTATTATTACCTGACTTGCAGTCTCTCCTGGGCATGTAAAGATTCTGTTAAGTTAAACAAAGATTGAACTCTTGAACTTGAACACTCTTGAATGTTGGGTACCACCAATCTAAAATCCGATGCACTTAACTTAAATGCAGCTTCCCCACAGAAGTGCCTTCTCTCACTTGATACTGAACATAAGATCATTCCGTGGTAGAAAATATTGCAAGTTGTCACATCTTTAGAGAGCAAAATAAGGTTATTTGAAGCTGCTAGCATAGCTTTGCATGGAAGCATGGCCTAATGGCTAACGCACATGACTAGGAGTTGGGAAATGTAGATTCTGTTCCTGGCTCTGCCACTGATTTGCTGTGTGACTTTGAGCAAGTCAGTTAATGGTTCAGTGCCTCACTTCTCCCATCTGTAAATTGGAGATGGTATGTGCCTGCCAGGGGTATGGCGAGGCATCAGTAATGTTGCTAAGGTGTATGGCAATTCTCTGATGGAAGGTGCTATATCAGGGCAAAGTATTAGTGGTGGTATTCTTTCTTTGGATATGCCTTACCCAGACATCTTTCTTAGAAGTGTAATTCTCCTTTTATTTTATGAAACCAGTTGTCAGCTGAGACTGTAACGGCAGCCTTTTATAACCTAATATATGTAAGCAATTGTCTTACTACAGAAAATCTCACTGAACGCAACAGTTCACCTCCTTCATGTTAGATGTCTCTGTGTTATAAAAATAAGAAATGATGCTGTAGTACAAATGGCTCACAAGGTCTCTCTTTGCATATGACCCTCCAGGAAGTGTGCCATTCTTACTGTGTTGCATACCAATAGTGCAAAGATCCTATTTGTTTCAGTGAGGTTATGTTTATGCAAAATCGTTAAGTAAAGTAGGTACAGTCTATGCTAATTTTCATATTTAAATATCCTAGCTGTTTCAGTCTTCAAGATTTCAAAAGTTGTTGGTTCATGCTCAAGAATAATTACGTTACCGTATACTTAAATTAAGCCATTTCTACTGAGTGTGCAAAAACAGCTGCTGAAAATCTGAGATCTTTGGGGGTAGGGTGGTTGTGTTGCAACTCAAATGGCATAACAATTTTTGCACATGAATTTGAGGAGAGAGGGTATTGGTAAAAGAGAGAAGCCCATTTTTGTGGAAGAGAGGATAATCTTTCAGTACTTACATAGTACTCTCTCATCTTCAAAGCTCTTTAAGAACATTAGCTAACGATTCCTCACAACATCTTTTGTTACCTAGATAGGAAAGTATCATTCTCATTTTATAGACAGAGAAACAGAACAGTAAAGTGACTCACCTGAGGGCACAGAAGGGAGTCCGTTTCAGTTGTGGTATTAGAATGCAGGAGTTCTTGGCTCCTTATGACTTTGCACTCAAGTGCGCGTGCTCTCGCGCTCTCAGGGTAACTTTTTATGCCCAGCATGTTACACCCCTAAACTGAGTAAAAGATTTAGACATACAGTTACCATTGAAATTAATGGTTGCTCTATGTATATTCCCCTAATTGGTTTTGAAATATCTCATCCTAAGCTTTACATATGAACCCAAACGTACTTGAATAGATCAACCTCGGATTTTGTAAGTTTTTATATTTTAATTGCTGTAAACATTTGCTTTTTCAGCTCCCAGTGAAGGAGGAGCCAATGTGTTTACTGTATCCTACTTCAAAAGCAGTGCCTACCTGGCTCAGTCTCCACAACTGTACAAGCAGATGTGTATTTGTGCTGACTTTGAAAAGGTTTTCTGCATTGGACCAGGTCAGAATAACTTTGTTTTATCAGAGTTTTTCATGCTGCAGTGATGGCTTAGAGCAAGCCTGTGACAAATGGGATGATGTGCACACACTGAAAGTTTGAATCCTTTCGCTTCTTCTCTACATACTGAACAAAAGTTTCAAGGAAGGGCTACTAATTGGACTGACATAATGACCATGTTTAAGGGGTAAGCTGGTAGAATAAAAGTGCAATGCTCAAGTCAGACGCGCTGATAGAAAGCACTGGTGTTCTCTAGCCGATGTTGCTATGTAATATTCCAGGCTCTTGGATGAAAAAGAGTGAGGACTGGAATGGAAGTTTAATTCAGTGATGAGCTAAAACAAGCTAGCAAAGCATCTACTAACTCTGTGATGCCAGAAGCTGATGATTCTTGATGAACATGCTTTACTTGTCCAATACCAAGCAGTTAAAAATATGCTTAGTTTTTTACATTCTTTAAATTTATTTTAATTCCTAAAATGCACCCATCCTGTGTTGTATGTCTACAAACAACTTCATTTAAACAACACCCCCAATGTAAATTGGATTGAGAGCAAAGAACCCTAGTCCTTAATTTCCAATCTCCCTTTCCTCAAAAGCTTTTGAAAAATAGAAATAGCGTCCGCTGACCACTAACATATATCTTTGTCAGAACTTTAAAGCTGGTAACTAGTGATTTATTTTTAAATTGGCAGAACAACTTCTAAAGTAAGAGAACTAAAGATTTCTAAAGGTACCAAATAAGTCTTGCTCATTAGCAAAATTAAGCTCAGGGGATAGCCCATCTCTACAGGACGAGTTGTGTGTGGTTTTAGGTAAGAGGAATTGTCATGCTCACATACAGTAATGCATGATGGATGCTAGACATGATGTGATTGATTGAGTTATTTTTTGTAAATCAAATATTATTGTAGTCATTTCCTTTAGGATACAAGGTCATTTAGAATTTGTACTCTAATTTTACAGTGTTTAGAGCTGAGGACTCCAATACACACAGACACCTAACTGAGTTTGTTGGTCTGGATATTGAAATGGCTTTTAATTACCACTATCATGAAGTGGTTGATGAGATTGCGGACACCTTAGTACAGATATTCAAGGGACTTCAAGAAAGGTAAATAGAGCGTTTTTCAGTCTGTGGACAGCTTCATCTGCTTGAGATCTCTAGGGTCCTTGCAGGAAAGTAGTGGGCGCTCCATCCTCACTCTATCCAATAACTGCTAGGAACCTAATTTATACCGAGAGAGCTTCAGAATTAAGGCTCTTACTCTGCTTGACTTTCCCTGTGCATCTTAGATTTTGGAATTCACTGAAGAAATGATCTTTTTCTACCCAGGGCTGTAATTCCTAGGGTATGACAGAGTGCATTAAGAAAACTCACTGTTCTTCTGTTGGAATGGCCTCCTAACAGAAATGATCTGTCCTCAAATTTAAATGTCCTTACTCTTGTGCACATACAAACTCTTTGTCCTTATTTTGATATTGAGCTGTATATTTGCTCTTACAGAAATTTTGTTAGAATCCTATTTATTGTAGTAGTCAGCATTATCTGCTATGAAAGCCAACAACAACAGTATTTTCCATTTTTTGCCACATACCTCACATGACAAATCTAGTTCATCAAGTTCTGGGAGGAAATCTAACATCCATTTACAAATTATACAGTATCTTGCTGCCACAAACACAGATTCTATTACCCGACCAAAAGGAAATCTGTGTTTTTATGATGATTGATTTATGTAATACACCTCTACCTCGATATAATGCTGTCCTCGGGGAGCCAAAAAAATCTTACCGTGTTATAGGTGAGACCACGTTATATCAAACTTGCTTTGATCCACCGGAGTGCGCAGCCCCCCCCCCCCCCCCCCCCCCCCCCCCCCCCCCCCCCC